GCAGCAGTGGGAGCCATGTAATTACAGAATTTTCTATGTGCATCCCCAAGCAGGTTTGCCAAAATTATAGCCCAGGAAAAACTGTGGAAGAGAGGCACTCCTCTGTTCAATAGCTTAGTGATTTGGGTGCTTGCCAAGGATGGATCTGATCCTGCCTCTTTCAAACTTCTACCACAGTGCCACCATGACACAGCTTAGTTATTATCTAGTCCCCTCTTTCTTGAAGCTACTGTACTTTGCATTTTATATTCACTGGAAAAAATGGGAAGTGCTGTGAGGAAGTTTGGGGCTAGCCATTAGCAGATCCTGGAACAGGGCAAGAAGGGGGTGCCCCCACCCCATTTGGCTATGCCACATACGCAGCAAGCCCTGGATTCACTGCATGGTCAATACAGGCTCCTGCTGAAGCTCTGCATGAGCAGTGGGCTTGGAGCTCAGATAGAAAGCAGGGGCTTGCTCTTGGCAGACCTTGTGCTGAAAGCTCACGTGCCACACAGCCAAAGTATCCCCTTTGGATCTGCCCCACAGGGCCAGCTTGAATTTAGGGACCTCTCCCTTCAAGAGTAGCTTCCATCACACTTAACAAGCCACCCTCTAGGTGTCCTGGTGGTTCTCTTGTCATGGATGCCTAAGGGTTACTTTCCAGAGGAGGGCAAAGTGCTAAAAATGGCAGTTATTTGGCTGGATACCTGCTATTTGGGCACATAAAATAAAACAGGATTCTGCCATAAATCTATGCGCCAGATGATGTATGGCACCATTCAGCCACAGTCAGTTCCAGCTTTGTAATGCTCGCTAGCATTCCGTCCCATACAGAGCAATATTCTTGTCCTATTATTAAGCACCTGCATTGCTTTTCAAATTCTGCCTGACCTTGCAACTAGTACCATAAGATGTTCCTTCAGATTCTGAGTCAGACCATCTACCTGTGACAGCTAGGGGATATTAATCTAGATAATATGAAAGTTTAAAAATGGAATGACTAGTTGGGCCAAAACAATGCTCCTTTGAGATATGCAATTTGTAAACCAGAGAAAGAAAGGATTTTAAAAAATTATTTGTAATTCAGGCAAAGGAAAACTGCACAATACTTTTTTTTAATATTAGCTCATTATGAACTGATAAAGGCTCAAGCAGAAATTATTCTTATCTTATCTTTAGCACTATTAAGCCTGTTAATTGTTCTGCTTGCTGTATTAGATTTAATCACCCTTTCTGTTCATAGTGTAAAACAGAACACAAGCTAATAAAATCAAGGTTATTTCCATAAAAGTCTTGCTGAAAAAGGCACCACTGATGCCATAATCTGCCATTTCAAAGTGGCAAGCCAAAATTTTATGTAGGACTAACTTCTCATGTGTGCCTATTCTGAATTAACAAAGTTAGATCCCTAAAAATATTTCATGTGGTGAGTTGGGGAAGATTTTGCTGGAGCATGTTATTTAATAATATATACTAAGCAAGAAACAGTGAGCCAATCTGCATCTCAAGTATCTCCACTCCTGCAGGGAGAAAGTGTATCCAGGGTATCTTCCCCCTACCTAACATACCTATGTTACCCAATGA